TCTCTTCGGCTCATGCGCCCCGTATCTTTGAATGATGTAACAATGCAAGAATACATACAAAATGTTGATAGTTTGGCAACTTAAGTCTTGATTCAATATCCAACTAAAATATCTAACTGTACAATAAGCAGGTAATTCTCGTACTGCTTAGTTTCAAAACGTGAAGCCAATTAGTGTTAACCTTATAAAGTTAATACCTCTCAGTCTGATCATAAAAATCATTTACGGAGAAAAATGCATGAACATACAGCTGAAAGACAGGATCAAAATGAAAGTGACAGGAACTGAAGTGCGCACAAGGTTTAGACAATAAAGTCCAGGGGACTTTTGAACAATGGAGGCCACATTCATTCACCTATTGGGAACAGATTACTATCATGGAAGCTGAATGCCGGATAACAAAGAAACCGTGTCGTTCAAGGGGTAGAGATAACAGTCTTACGGGCTTTAAAGAGATTTTACGTATTCGTGCGCAATCGCCAGAACGGTTTAACCGCCTCATTCTTCGCGTTTCCTGGCAGCCTTACAGTTAAATGGTTCGTCTATCCGGAATACCGAATTGGCCAATGCGTGACAAGAGAATGAGCGTACAAATGCCACCAATTTTACTCAAAAGTGAGGTTTACTCTCCCCACTTAAAAGTGATAATCTAATGTTAGCCAGCTGATTATTTTGTGTTTGCTATTCATAACTATAGAACCAGGTAAAATTAAACGTGGAACACATGTAAGATAGTCCTTTTTCACTTACTTCTAACAAAATTTCAATGAGTTTTTAAAGGCAATAAATATACAATTACGAAAAATTGATGAATGCACTTATAAAGGCATAGAGACAGTGATAAAAGCATGAGATATCATACACAAGAAGAACTTTATTTGATTTGAATTTGGCAAACTTGGGTTAATTTATATTACGCGCTTTACTTTATTATTTACAAACGCAAAATTGTTTTGAGTCAAATCAAACCTGGTTTGGAGTGCGCCTTTCTGTTATACGTGTGTGTGCTATTTGCCCCAGTGTGCTTGCAAAAACCTCACAGATCAGTGGGGATGCTCTTGTTATTTCAATTATAAACTATTGCAATCGGTTAGATGATCTCAGTGCAAATAAATTAGTGGTGACTGAAAGACTGTGTAGATTGGTGAATATAACGCAACAGTATTTCACACGGCTAGGTCGGTTGGAATACGGCTGACGCAAGGAGTTTTTTCAGAACTTCAATGCTACAATAAAGTTATTTGAACCTATGTTGGAAGATGGAATACTGTTATTTGTAATCTAGACATTTTTTATCCAGTGGGATAATTGGGAAAGAAATCTATGAAATAAATTCAAAAATACCGTCCAATAAGTAATCAACATCTTTATAACAGCGCAAAGAACCCCGGAGATTTTTTGAGGGTTTCTGAACTATATGCATAGCAGTCACCATGTCCAACAATATCCGAGTGATGGCAATACGATAATCCACGTTGATTTTTCTGCACGTAAGCTTTGTGAACCAATTACTGAAATACATTAGAAAAAATAAATCAGAAATTACTAAAACTTAAACAAACCGCAACACGCAGCACGGAATCAAACGCTGGTGAAAATGGGATAGCTGCAGTATTGCGCCATTACCATTTGGTAATCGTAAAGTGTTGCCAAAACTACAGGGTGGGGAGGGAGGCTGGGGAGACTGAGGCCATTTACACTCAAAGAAGAGCGATGGTTAAGTCTTATGAGCCTCATGTAAGTAATGACTTGAAGCAGTGAGTGGTTTAAATAACGCTACAGTTTAAATAAGCTCTTGAAAATCATTATATTTGGAATAAATATCATGTATTTTTGTACGCTCTTACCCAGAGCTTCTGAGCAGATTGTCACTCATGCTTTTCAGAATTTCCCTACCATCTCCGACACTACCATTCCACATAGCATGAACACCGCACTCAAATAGATGTCGACGCGTGTTCCAATCATTATACTGATTTAACTATTCACTCTAACCACATCTTTATTTCTATATGGTACGGTAGGCTTACAAATACGTTGAATTCCATTTACATAAAACATCTCAGTTTTCTCGACTGAGATATCACTTCCCAATTACTGTTTAACCGTCCATATGGTTAACTCCATGATCGACATCAATACATCCATTTAGATTGTCACAACTTTTTCTATTTCCCGTTTGATACACAGGTACTTTAAGGTGCAATCATTTCATCATTCCTAAATTATTTATACCGGCACATTCTGCATCGTAAAGCATTTAAATTTAATTTTAAGAAAGTAGGGGATATTTTAGTTGATTACTCGTCACCCTGCAACCCTCACAATACTTCGCTCGGGAAGCAATTACGTTCCGTTGCAGAGTAGTCGAAGTCCTTCTACTTCTGCAATAAATCCATATAATGTGTTACAATTAAGTTTCGGCCGATTGTGGATAATTTCATATCGTCTGTTCTGAACTATAAAATGATCTGAACATTTTGAATATCTTGGCGGTTCTTTCATATTTCACTTTAAATTTTCGCATCCTGTTCAGGAACCCATCTCCAAAATTCCTCGTTCAACATAACCTTTACCGTTCGAGGTATATGAAGGCACACCTGTGATTTCATCTGAGTTTGTTCACTCTGGGCGGACTAAGTGTTCTGCTTCATTCCCCAGTTTTCCGATTTTGGAACATTTGTGGATAAGGTGGTCATTTAAATATATTTTCAGTGGGGTATGTGTTTAATGATGGATAAACTGTTTGTTCTAAGTAACTGCTTTTTTAAAATTTATACAATTGTCTTCTAAAGGCTTCTATTTTCATCTGACTTACAATCTTACACTGTGATCCAAATAGAAATACGCATACACAAGGTCTTCATTTTAGTGACCAAAAAAGAATGCGTAATGAAAACAGCATCATCAAAAATTATAAAGCGCTCCATCTGTAGAGCATGCTCCAGACGAGTGGTCAACACAATTTATGCAAAAGCATATTCCGGGTTTCTAACTATTCGATTTTTGGAATCTCCTACAAGCAAAACTGTAACCCAGTTCCTTTCTTAACCAATTAAATCTCTGCTAATTAGATTTCATGATCGCAATGTTAAAGGAAATGTCCAACGCCTGAAGTAATTAGGTCTGCGTGAACACCGTCAGTTACATAGCTGTCTTATCAAAACTCGGTGGAATCATTAACTAATCAGTAAATATTCAGCATTTTCACATACGTAATAGATATTGTATTAAAAGCTCCCTTATCTGAGACATTTATTGACATCTGTGGTGATAGCTAATGCAAATGCTGCCTTTACGCTTCGCCAAGTGACTAGTTCATTTAATTTAGTCACTCTATCCGTCAAACTATGACGGAAGAGCTCAAAAAGCCGGAATATCGTCATGAGTTAACAGTTGAGAAATCAACACGGATCTTTATTGGAAAATAGATTATTAAATTTTCCTTTTCGTTTGTGCAATAGATAGATTTTCATCGTCAAATGTGACAATAAAACAAAAATTTATTTTTAAAATGCTCCTTCCCAATAGTGCTTGTCTTCACTGGCGACTGTGAATCAATTCATTCATCATAAATGTTTATAAAATGAATTTCTCTGTGTACAGAGCAAGTAAAGCGTAAATTGAAATGCTACAAAGCACTACTGTACGGCTTTTCCGACGTGTTTGGATCCCATTATCAGTGCAAATCCATCTATTCAACAGAAAGTCGAACCCACGAAGTCGCAGGTAGACTGCAAGCTTGAAAAGGTAGGTTACACTATGCGGTGATTAGGCAAACCATTATATGTCTCACCAGATATGCTTATGTATGCTTACGTTCTACCTGGGAGATCTCAGGTCCGATCCCCAGTGGGTTCGACGGATTCACACTGCCGATGAAGCCCACATATGTCAAAACAACAGTTTAGTTCACGCTTAATGTGCCGTTTGCAAGGCTAAGTTCATTATACAATTGAATTGAGTTTACCACTACTTTCATCACGTATACGTTATACAGGTCAGCTTTTATTTTTAACTGATTTATTCAGGCACAAATTGTGATTTATTTGAGAGAGTTTCTCTACGTACGAAAATAACTAATGAGGTAGTCCCAAATTTTCATCATTTGACATCATAAAAGCACTGATGAAGACAAGCGGTTCAGTATTCGATGACAAACTAGGTTTCTGTGTTGAGATGTTTTTCACGCAGGATTTTCTCTTTGTTCAACAAAATGTCTACTGTAGCTTATCGTAAAGAAAATCGATTGAGCGGTGAAAATTATCTATCTATTTTCGTCTGGTGAAGATATTTTAAACAGTACGTTCCTACGAAAGTTTGTTGAACTCAGTCGTCCTCATAGATAAATGCAAACAGTACAATAGAGTGAATAAAACGGCGGTCACCTTTTAATGACAAACTGAAATATTACTTTTGGGCCATACCAAGTTCAATAATGTTCTCTTTTTTCTTCGATTATTTCTTACCAGCAATCAGTTTTGCAACGAATGATTAATTTTTCGAATACTCAATACAACCAATATGTGAATTGTAAATCTTTCGCCTGACACAAATAACTTACAATGACGAGCAATACGTTTTTTTCCTTCCTGTTTTCTGTGTTGCACAATACACAACAGTTGACTGGATCGTTTATTATACATTTTGCAAATCTGAGTCTGTGAAACAGAAAACAGTGGTGTAAATTGAGTGTTGGAGTGTTTATTGGTGCGTTTTGGTTCAAGCGAATTCTTGGTGTGAGTTGATCCTATAGGAAAACCTTGCACCCCATTTTGCTTCTCAGTGTATCCAGTTATGCGTTGGTTGACAAGGCATCAAAATGAAAGCGGTCAAAGCTATCAGTCTGTGTCTATACCTAAAACGTCTGATTGATTCCTTAGCAGGGATTCGAGTCTCATTCAGGCTGCTAACCCTTTCGGAATTTAAAAATGAGTAGTAAATACTAAACTGCCTGTTAAAACAACATGGTTTAATATAAAAGGTCCAGGTTTCATCCAATGCGTTTAATCGTGTGTGCCGGTACGTATGTGTAAGTGAACAGGTACTTCTACAAAAATGTGAACTACTAGTTGAAAATAAATTAACCATCCAACCATCTATTTTTCGTACATTCCAGGCTGAATACAAATCATGCGTGTATATTTAAACACAAAACATCAAATTCTCTCATTTTAGCATTTATTTTTATTAAAGATGAATAGTATTATGAGCTGGAATTATTCAATCTCTCCCTCTTGATGTTACTATTTCACAGCTTCGGATTGCTTGCGTTACATGCGCAAAGGCAGTGAGCTGATCAAGTTGCGCACCAGTGGACGCCAGTACAAACGAACATTCTATTTAGATGACCACATGCGATGTATTCGATGGGTCTCTAGCAGCAAACGTCATGCCAGGGCTCAAAGTGAGTTTTACCAAATACATGTTTGAATGTGTTCTCTCAACTTACTCACCAGGGACATACAAACATCACACTGCATGCATTACTATGAAGACTTACCTAAATATTATAATGAATGTAATCTTTGTAGCCGGACATCTTTTAAATATTATTTATTATGTGCCATGTACAACGCTGCTCCAGATTTTATGAAACTAAGTTCTTCCCTGAAAAAGTTTTAAATGTGTAGAGAATGTATTTGATACATTGATTTCAAAGCCACACAAATCACAAATATAAAGAAACACTTGGATGAGTTTCATTTACTTGCTTCGATAAAGATGCGTAAGGTTATTTGCACTCGTTCTTGCATGCATGTGAACATTTCGGTGAAACTCAACACTTATTGAGTTTACGGTCTTAGTAGTGTTTCTTCTACTGTCGGAATTAAAAAAACTGGTGACTAAATCAGTCGAAATAGCAATAGAAGGCAAGCACATTGTGCCAATCGATTTCGACTGTTTAGTTTTCTGACACATGAAGATTGTGAATTTATTCTGCGCACGGAAATGGCTATATAATACGGTGCTCATACATTTTTTGGCAAATGTCAATAAAGTTATGCCGCTTGACCGCTTGAAGTGTTTATTTACGGCATAAGTGCTCTTAAAAAATACAGTGAGTATTTTATAGATAAACATAAAAAAGGAAAAAAGATATCACTCACATGTCAAAATGTTTACTGCACTCTGTCAAAAAGTTTTCAACTAATGAGGTATAGGCAACCAGAAACAATGCAAAATTCCTCGGTCAAGAAAACTGTTCCTGCTACGTGTAACTGGTGAAGGCTCCTGAGCAGCTACAGGATCAAACAGATGAATACCGAAAATGTTATTAATTTGTGTGCAATAAAAGAACGAAGAACTCTAAAGTGAGCGCTTCAGCCCTCACCCTATTTTTGGATTTCATTTAGTACCGAAGAATCCCCCTTGAACAAAAAAGCATTTTGCTATTTTTTCGTCGCTTTAAAAAATTACATAATCATATTATATGGTTCACCAAACTTTTAATTCTTATTTGGCTCATTTCCAACTTGTGCATTGAACTATTTAGAAAATATCTAAGGAGATGGTTGTAGAACCATAGTCATGCCTGCGGCTTCAATGTTCCACATGCAGAAACTTATGACATGTGCAAGTTTGGTTTCAACAATAAAAATGCTCTGCTCAAAGGAGTTTATGATTGTTTCTCTCATCGGGTAAATTGCGGAATGAATTTGCACTTCGTTTTATGTGCCTCAGTTGTATACGCTCAAAGTTCTCTTTGCGTATCCTATCTTAAAACAAATTCTTCGGTAGTTGAGACCAAACTGATACAACATTTCACCATCCATCTTTGTAACATGTTTTTCATATAATTAGAAGTACTTTCTAGGTTTCTCAAGCACCTCTTTTTTAAAGGTTTTCCTTATGAGCATTTTGCATATTTCATATCATCCATAAGTTCAGATAGTGATCGTGAATTTTTACATGCTGTTCTAGCAAAATCTTAACATTAACGCTAAGTTGACTCAAACTAACCTTTTCACATTTCCCACTTTAATTCGCTATACGAACCTGTATTCATCTATGTAAAGCTTTCCAGTTCTCTTGCATACCTGAACGTTTCCGTATTTCTAACCAAAATACACCTGATCCAATCTGAAATTGAAAACGTTGTTTGGGAACATTTGCTAAATTATTTATTACAGATATGGCTTAGTTTCATTCCTTACGGGATTTGCAGTAGCTGAGTAATCACTACCATGGTATTTAAAGGAAGTCATGGACAATTGTGGATTGTTTACCATTTTGAAATCTTGTCAGCTTCCAAAGCTTCAGAAAATGAGTATTCTTCAAAAATCGATATATCGGTGACACTACCACCATTAGTAATACATTTTACATTTAACTCACCCAAGCCTGAGAAACAGCTTCTCGCGCTGGTCATTTTGGTAGGAAAATCACGATCGTCCAAGAAAAAGCGGCGTTTCACTATATTTCGTTTAATAGTGTTTATTAAATGATCGAAAAAATTGTTTCTCTCCTTATTTGATGTGGAAGAAGTAGTATGCGCAAAAAGAAATAACAAAACCTCAGCTCATAAGTAAAAATAACTTCTAATGATTAGAAACTTCAAGTGATGACTGGAGGAGTTAATGTTAAAGGTGAATTTGTCGTGTATATTGCAAATGAAGCAGAAACTGAAAAGCTAGGAAGCCCTGAACAGCTGTTTTGACCTGGTGGGGTCTCATCAGCAGTGCGAATGCATTAAATCCTCCATTACGCACTTGAAATAAGTAGTCAGGTTGTGAATGTTTCCAACCGAGTCATAACCCGGAGGCTAGTGTTGAGATGAACAGGGTCTGTCGCCCGCAACAAACTCGTAAAGATTGGTTGTGCTTTATGGTGTAAATGGAAAATGGAAAACCGTCTGGCCAGCTGCCCGGTGTCCGAGTGGATAGTATGCCCACCTTCCACCTGTGAGATCCCGGGTTAGCTCCTCAGTCGGATGGATGGATTCACTCACTACTGATGAGACTCAACCAGGCCAAAACAGCTATCCAGTGCTTCCCACCTTTTCCAATCACACCTTAGTTACACGAGAAATTTCACAAGCAGTAGCTTTAGAATGATCAAATAGACAAATAGTTTTGCGAGAAATTAAGCGATTAGATCAATAACAATGAAGGCAAATTCGCGGATCTTTGATTCAGTGCATGTTTCCGGTAAAGAGATTAGATCACATTTGATNCAAATGTTCCATTAGATAAACTCTTTCGCTACAGTTCCCTCTCGGTAATGCATTGCTTCAGAGTTTAGCGTTTAATACTTTTTTGCTAGTATTTCTATTTTTTTATTTTCAAATGAGTTATTTGCTTCATTTTCGGATTAAGCATATCTCCGTAGTCAAAAACGGCTATTTGAAAATCGTCCCCTGCTATTCATTCCCTATTTTGGCCAACAACACGTTACAATCGGTCGCAAAATCCACTGCTCTGCACATGTTCATTCAAGTCAACGTTGAAACTGGTGTATGTACTTCGGTTTTGCGCAATGTATTAATTTGGCAAAAACAGAGTGAAATCCCATAGGTTTACTTTTCGGGGCAACTGTTCTCGATAATGCACTGCAAGCTAGATATTTAGACTGTATCAACCAATCTATTGGTTGCGCTGGAGCTGCTAATTGCTACAATCTTCTTCGCTTTTTTACTTTGGGACGAACGCTGTTTTAAAGTATTTCACAACAAGACCAAATAAACCAAAAGTAAATATAGATTTTCTTCACCTATTGGAATTTTTACTAGAAGCTAAAAATTTGGTATTCCCTTAGGCTACTTCGAAAAGATCAACACTTATTTGTTTGAAAATGATAAATAACTACTTCTCAGTAAACATTCTGCAGTTCACCTAGGGTTGTTGTCTGAAATCCCTGATTTGAAACCAACCAAAGAGGGGCATGTGAACCACACGCATACAGTTCTAGTGCTTGATTGCTCATCAAAGTGTGTTGAACACATTGGATCACTGACCCCGTCCAAACATCATATGATCCCGTTATCTGGTAATCGATCCTTATTAGACTGAGGTTTCCGCACAATGCCCCGCTGCGCTGCAAGCTAGATTTGACTAACGGTGAATCCCCGAAGAAAGTTCGCTGCCTAGCCTGGATAGTCTAGCTGTGTTCCGCATACAAGCCAGTCTTGGAGCCACTTTTTGTCATATATATGTATAATGGGATATCAGTGTGTGGGCAAATACTTTGACACGGTAATCTCAAAAACACTCATCAATTACGTATGACTTTACAAACTGCGTGTGTCCTCGCTGTTATCTCCAGGTACCCACAAAACAATGACCACACAGTTTGGCTAAACGATGCGTTCACCCTCCGTTGCTGCGCGTAATTATACAGTGTTCGTGCAAACCGTGGATTGCGCAATTCAAGGTCTAAATCCAGTTTTTCTGCAGAAAATGCGTTGAAATGTTAGACTCTATCTTGGTGACGAAATACACTGTTTTAGTGATCACGTTTTAACACAGACACACAAATCGCCATATCTTTAATGTTCAACCCTATCATCATCAGTGTCAGATTACTTACTAACTACATTTGACCTTCTACGCATCTCATTAATAGTGTATTCAACCTAAGACTGGTTCGTAGTATCTCTGTTCACAGCAATATTCCAAGTATGAACTTAGTCCCTTCTTCACACTCGACAATTCTGCAATCTGTTTATCTCGCTTTACCATTTAAACTGTCTGGAAATTTCACAGGAGGCAGCTGCCAATGAAGATTATGTACATAGTATATATCTCAAAGAAAATTGTTCGCATTTATCAAATTCATGTATGCGTAACATTTGTCATGTGCAGCTCGGAATGAATGATAGTTGAAAAGCTGTGTACACATTCGTTTCAAGCGTATCAGTTGCCATAGTTTCGTTTAAGCATTGACCGGACAAGGAAGCAAATGCATGAAACAATACCCCCGTCTGAAAAGTTTTCATTCACCATTGTTCGCATGACAAACAAAATCGTAAATTAACATTGAAGGTTTGTGTGTAGGATTAAAAAAAAGGAATTGCTTCATTAAGCAAAAATAATGGCAAAAAACGTTTTCATACGAAAAAATGCGCCATGTTATATACGCTCAATTATTCTTATTGCAATTCTGCTTCTGATATTTTGTGTGCACATTCATGGATTAGCCGTAAAAAGATTTTAGTGTTTCACATTTGTTGCTGAAAACTAAATTGACTCTTTCAAAAGATAAAATCAATTATGTGGGGCGAAAATCATACTTGTGCTGGCCAAATTCCTGTTTGTATACTATCCTTGATCAAAATTTTCAATGACGACTCAGAACATTTCTTGTGAACCTAAAAGTGTTTCCCTAAATAAAACAGTAGATTATGCATACAGATTACCCCAAAAGGTTTACCACAAAACAGAATAGATCAGGTGAAACGGGATTTCATTTGCATATATAAATTTCCTATAGTGATGGTCGGGGATTGATTAAAGGGTTGTTGGTTTTTCTCGTTTCTCTCAATACACCGTTAAATTGTCTAACCATTTCGAACGGCGCAAATGTATTAAAGCTTCCAATATCAAACCTTTAGACACCTCCATGAGAAAGCGTATAAAAGAGACGTTTTGGGTTAACCACTGATGAGATGGTTCATTAGGTTGATTCTATGAAAAATTCATCTGAATAGAGAAGTCAGAAACGTGAGTTGCAAACCCATATTTTTAGAATTTTCTATTCAAATTTATGACGGAAAAAGAGTGGTTTTAACAATTTCATCAATTTTGCTCTTAGAGAAAGTAAGCTTCATTATTTCAATGTTTCAGGGACAAATGGAGTTGTATTGAGAGATACTTTGGCACTGGATTGTTAGATAAGGGAAAAACAAGGTTTTACTAAAGAATATAAAAAAACTCAACTAGATTACAGATCTTTGATGACATGAGACCTGCCTACTCTTTAGGTAGAACGGGGCAGGTTTAGTTAATCTTAGAGATAATTTATTTGAACATGAGTATCTCAATCAAATATCATGTAACTAACATGCTGAAGTAATAATTCGTTTCAATAAAAGTATTTGTCTCAAGTTTCTCTACACCACTTTGCTCTCCATCTGACACTAACCGTCCTTTTCTCGCCCTGCTTACCTATGGACAAAAGTTCACATCACTGAAATTCATGATGTTCAACTGGGTTGTTCAACGCGAGCCGTGCACTCCCTTACACGCCGTAGACAATCCAGTCTTACTCCATCGAATTACCCATCGGGGAACTCCCTGTCTCCGTCCAACTTATCTGTGGGAAGTTCCGGTGGGACGTTTCACGGGACTGTTTCATTGTCTCGCTCTAGTTCCATTTCGCAAGGACATGCTTCTTCCATGTACGGAAGTTCGGCTTGTTTGAACCTGACCGCGAGCACATTCACAATCAATCATGGACCGGAATTCGAGACTCTCGAACTGCTTGCTAATTCACCGGAAGAAGCTAATATTTGGGTAACCGGTCTAAAGTGTCTGATGACCGGGGCTCAAGGTAAGCTTCACCATGAGTGCGACAAACTATACCAAAAATAATCATGAAGTATGACTAGTACAAGCACAATATCCATTCAACCTAAAATATGACTATCACTAATGAAACGGATTTAAGGGAGAAAATATTAAACGAGCAAAACTGTATAAGTATTAAGCACGAAATTTACCAAAATAAGGACAGTGAATCTAGTACCTAATACAAAATATTTCATATTACCGCTATCAATTTTTATGTGGCTTAAAGGGTGATTGATTTGGGTACAGAACATTGTTATCAACTATTTTATTCCTAGGTTGGGAATAAAAAACGACTTTTAATAAGGGAGATCTAATGCCGGTATTGTCATTTCTGCTGGAGATTATGAAATCGGGGAAACCCAATCAACGTTGCATAGTCTGGAGTTGACCGAAGCTTTGAAAGTGGGTGTGAAAAAGTTACTTGAAATTTTGTTTGTCTATCGTCGGTTGGTCAAGCATTACACACCAATTTGTCACAATAGAATAAAAATATGCAAAATGACGTACTCAGAACGCTTGGTTGTTGAAGTACGTCATTAAAAACAATTTAGATTATAAATGGTGCCAGATTCGCTCACTTTTGGTTAGAGCGTGGGATCATTTTGACCGATCCATATTCTTCAACTTTCCTTGGCCAATCTGTGTTGCGAGGACCGGACAGAAAACAGAGAACGCATTTCTGGGCTCTACCGGGACATCACTTGCAATGAAGTAGAGTAGGCTGTCAGAGGTTCGTCTGCGTGTCGCAGTTGATATGCAGGTTGGTTTACGATAGTGGTCGGTCATTCTAGTTTGCCTTACTTCGGTAATCCTATGATTCCACATATCCGCATACTAAGCCCCACACATGATAAAGCTTTATAGATTTCTCAAGTCAGATCATTTTTCAATGGGAGTAGATGAAACCAGTTATTCTCGTACGATTTTTCTCCCAACTCAGAACGTGATCCAACAGTTGGTCCCAATAATTAGTATCCTTATTTCAAGCTTTGCGAATGCTTCGCAACTAATATAGGGAAATTATCGCCCTCCACTTAGGAAACAACCGTGTGGTTGGTTAATCACCATACGAGTAACAATTTATCCAAGCATTAACACTTTACATGCTAAAACTGGAGCTGAATTTTCTCGTAAACATACAGCTGAAAATCATTACTGCTGTGAACAAGCAGCTGAACTTCAGGATAGTGCCTGCGGCAGATAGTACAGACTCAAGATTCGACTTTGCACGACCATCAGCATATACGTCACAGTGACCAAATTAGGTTCAACGGAATTCGGAAAATAGTTAAAGAGAGTGAAAGTCCGTGAGACGAGGCGGGGAAGATAAAAGTAAACATTTCGGGGAAAATATGACAGTCTGATACAACCTTTGNTTTCATCCACTCAAGCAAATAGAGAAATTTGCTTCAGGAAGAAACCAGGTAAAAATTATTATGCGTGAGTTCTAATCCGTGTCATTAGGCTTATTCATCAATTTGTTTCAAATGATCTATCATTTTCCCTAAGGAGTCAGATAGTGTCCTTAGTTGGAGATATTTACCGATGGGATATGCTACAAATTTTGATCGGCTGCTCCATGCTTCCGACTTAATCCTTCAATCTCTGGCCCACACAAACAGAGTTTGCTGTTAGAATTGAAACTCGTAACTGGAGAGAGTGATGAACCATACAATAAAGATCTATTGGATCAGGTGCACAAGTGTCGGGCGAGTAGCTCGATTACGTTCTGTCCGTGGGGTTGCAGGTTTGATTCCCAGTCGCATGGGTGAGTTCAAGTTCACGACAACAGGGAACAGATAACTACTCTGTGTAGCAGCACATGAATGTTACTTTTTAGCGTGTCATACGGTTTATTCAGATGATCACCAAAAACTAAATGGACTTTCGACACCGCTTTTATCAGTCAATTTGATGTGAATAGGTTTATACATGTGTGACTTTGGGTACCTTAATGAGCAGTCGGAATAAATATATTAAATGGTTCCAACTTGGGTTTATGAAATATGACAACGTAGTCAGTAGGAGGATAATAATAGGACCCTGTATACTTGGATGTCTTTTGTACTATTGTTCTTTAAGGAATAATCAACTGCAAGCTGCTTTTGTTATACGAAATCAAACTATTTATCTTATTTTCCATCGATATTTATGGAATAATCTCAACTTTCTTGGGAAATTGGCCGTCTCTTTTAATTATCATTGAAAAGAATTCTGCGTTTTCTGAATAAAATAAATTTTCAAATTCGATGGAAATGTTTTGTGATAACCGATAAAGAGCACGGAACACCTTTTTAGTCCTGTTTGGGACTCGTCAGCAGTGCGAACTTCTTGTATCCCTGTTAGGACTCAAATTGCGAACATTTGGATCAGGCCTTCAAACCATTATCCCTGAGCTACACGAGTGATAGTGATCACCTTGTTTGAACGGCTCAATCAATCAAGAGTATCAAGCTTGAATTAGCCTATTCGATTTTTCAGCGGCCCCAGGCACTGTTGATGTTCTTGGATGTGAGTTTTAATTCATATGAGATCGTTAATTTCCCACAAGGTGATGCATTCAAATGCAATGGAAATGTTTTTTGATAACCGACAAAGAGAACTAGACGTCTGTTTCCTACTTGGGATACGTCAGCAGTGCGTACTTCTCATGTCCCTGTCAGGACTCGAACCGCTAATATTCGGGTTGGGAATTCAGACCATTACCTCGTGGGGAATTAACGATCTCCCAGGGAGTGAAACCTACACCCAAGGGTATCAAGAGTGCCTGGTTCCTCTGAACAATCGAATGGGCTAATCCAAGCTTGAAACTATAAAACAAATTTTGTTTTCATAGTATGTTGGTGAATGATGTGTTAATCAAAAGGTTACTTAGTGTCAATCAGGAATTAGAAACGCGATTTTTAATAAGCAGCATCAATCATCTCTTATCCCTCCCCCTGTTCTTCCACCGTTCTCACAGATCCTCATATCTTGGAGGAACGTCAGAAATCCCGTGATCGGTGAGTGAACTACGTGATTTGTGTCACGAATTAACAAACGAAAAGCTCAAAAATTACTTAAATTAGGCCGACTGAAGACACCAATCATTGGAACAAGGAAAGTCATAGAAGTTGTCAAATATGAAGCATTTATTTGTGGAGTTTATGTGAGTAAGCGAAAAGTAGTCAAATATGCTGATTTGTTTAGAATAGTGTGTTTTGATCGCCGCATTCTATTTTGGTTATCACTGGAAACTGCCGAGGGTGCTGGATATTTGGATGTGGGGTTCACTCTTTAAAACTTTGAGTACTACGCATATAATGAATGCAATTCATTTGTGCACGGTCTGGAAAGCGGACATTAGAAAGCAATTCGAGTTAACTTTAGTAAGAATTGTACATCCAGAATGAATGAACAAGATGATGAATTGTAGAATGAATTGTTACCTAATGATTTGTATGTCGATTGTGAAAAGTTCAGTAGCCTCGGTGGGATTCGAACCCACGCATGGACACCGCCCACGCTTTGTGCGCCCATGCCCTACCAGCTAAGCTACGAGGCCACACCGATAGCACTGATCTTTTTCACATTCGAATTTACCCATCCAACTTACAGAGGCATGTGGCATCCACCAGTTAGCATGTAAGCTGACTGCCTCCACAGGTTTTCTTTACAATTCACCGGACTCCACCGAAAGAGCTACTGAGGCTACTGAACTTTTCACAATCGACATACAAACTTCAAATCTGCCAAACAACTATTTGACCTAATGATTTGTTTGGAAATAATTCTAACGACATTCATACCATTTCACAAACTATTATGAACTAAAAATGTTTTCTACGTTAAACATGAAGAGTTGCAGAGAGAGGTGATTAGGTCAATTCCACCTAGCAACACCGAAACCTAGCTAAGTGAGAAGTTTTCGGAAGCACAAACTTTCATCCTAAATGTCTTTCTCGGACGTACATAAATAGATCACTATTCTGTAAATCATCATCATCCGTCGTAACACAGAACTATGCATTTTGTCGTACCGCATACGGTTGTCATATCATCACATGGTGTTCTCGTTTTAAGGTGGTTGTGGTAATGATTGATGGGCGGGACCGAAATGTGTGGAAAGAACGAGGGACTGCCCTCATATGCGCTGCTCTCTTTCAAGATTCCTCATTGAAACGTCGCTATAGTACAACAGATATATATATATTGTGATCATCTGTACTTGGTATTGAAATCCGAATCGCAATAAATCCGCGCAGTTAAGCTGCAAGCGAACTAGTACGCAGTATGAAAAAAACACCGGAATATTGAAAGTCGAATTATATTACGCGCCGTAATTGTGCAAAGGCGATCGATCATGTTAAGAAATAAGAGTGTTCATTTTATACACAATCACCACAATATATATATATATCAACAGACAAACAGCATGGCGAAAATGGTTTTTGCAATCTCGTGTTGGGCATTTACAGTTGTGTTTACATGTATACATATATATGTGATAGAGTTAAAAGTGATTAGTTCATTAAGTTAAATAAGAAAGAATAACCATAACTGTCAAGTTTTATGGGAGCAAAAGGAGAAAGGATGTATAGGGGAACCTGGGTTAATTCTGAAAATTTCCGATGACTTTTCACGTGCAACGTTTCACGCCATGATGCGTCATCACAATATGATTGAGGTCAGATTGTCTTGGCCCCGCGTCAACCTACGTGACAAACAAAAATATAACTTCAATCAGGTCGTTATGACGTAACACGCTGCACGTAAAAGGTCATCGAAAATTTCCAAAATTGACCCAGGTCCCCCTATAGTCAGTCAAGTCAAGTCAAGAAAAGCTTTATGCACCCAAAAGGTGAATTTTCAGCAGTTTACGAGTTTACAGTGGATAGATAAAATAATTGTAAACAAAAAAATACAGTATGAGAAATTCTGCACTTTAATAAATGAGAGAAAAAAATTAGGGCAAGAGTTTTCCCTGCGGTGGGTGAGGATATGCTGACGACTTACTAGTAAACGAGCTAGGTAAGGAATTACTCTGTTTCGATATGTGGAAGTCCGCGCAGGAAGGAGTTGATATTTGGAGCATGTCCGGGAAATTGACAGGGCTTTCGCGATATCCTGGTGTAGACAGTGCCCTTGATTGTGCGTTATCCTGTCACTGAATGTATCACAACCGTCAAGATGCTTGGAAATAAAGAAATCAAGTAAAACAGTTTTATTAACTCCCTTGTAGCTGGACTAAAGTTTAAGGGATCTTGAAAATAAAGAGAAGTCTTTTTCTTTCAGTCCGGGGATAAAAATCGGGGAGCAGTATAGCCAGTGTGGAAGAATGCAGGCAATCACAAATTTAAGAATAAGATTATGCGGTACGGCCAGTTTCCTGAACCTGTAAGCATAGAAAGACAGTTTGCGAACTTTTGTGAAAACGGTGATGACATGAGCAGACCAAGACAGGTTATGGGTAACGGTGACACCAAGGTATTTAACAGATGCAGATTTGGGAATGCATTGATTGTTAATTCTAAGATCAGGGAGATTATAAACTAATGAAAAATAACGGGGACCGGTTTGAAGACTAAATGGAACTTCGATGCACTTACTGACGTTAAGTTTAAGGGATCGGGTCACAGACCAATCGTGAAGTTCATTAAGACTGTCCTGGAGAGGTCGAAAACTGTCTGAAATAGGGGCTGGGCAACCAATCACAATATCATCAGCATACTTAGAAGCAATAGAATTGGTGGGGATGGGCAAATTTTACATACATATATATGGAAAACAAGAAAAGGGACAAAATGGCACCCTGAAAAACACCAGCGTCAATGTTAATAGAAGAAGATTGCACACCATTGAGTGAAGTAAACTGAGTCCTGCGGGAGAAGTAGTTGATTAGTATATTCAAGACTTCATCCTTCCTCCCTTTGCCCTCATAAAACTTGACAGCTATGGTCATTCTTTCCCATTGAACCTAATGAACCGATTAAATTTATTCTCACCGCATATATATAAACACAAAGCTGGATATGATCGAAGAGAAAGTTGGAAAAAACAAGCTTGTTTACTATGTTTGTCTATAAAAAACGGTTTTCAACGCCGAGTCATCGTGTCAAGTTAACAAATACGAATTCCAGAATGATTTCATCATGTTTCAATGGACAGAGTATTTCTATAACAGAATGCATTCATATTTAGAGTAGCAAGTTTGATTTACCTCATTCGTTTGTTAATAGACACCAGGCACTCTTCATGTATTCATTTTCCCGAAAAAATGTTGTCTGCGATTTGAGTTTTAGTCTGGAAAATGGTTGAACGAGGCACTGTAATTCACACAGATTTGAGGTGTTTTAGTTTTTAATGAATTTGATAAATCTTGCATCCCAATGAATTCCGTATACGCATTGGTAATTCCAATAGATTCCCTTAAAATGAAACAATGTCTTGTAGACAAAGCATTGAAAACAAACTAGTTCACAGAATTACGGCTGCTACTTCTATCAGCCCGCCGATATTTTAAATTGAATTGTGATCGATCACTGGATAATCTCTGGACTAATGGCTGAACGGTTTGAATCAAGCAGTTACAGGGAAACTCCGTGGTTTGTGCAAGAAAGTCAAAATGGTACGTAGTCCTTTTGGAAAACAGTTCCCTTGGGGGTTGGCATTTCAGAACTTAATCAGGAAAACATTTTAAATTCCAGAACTATGGTATAAACATTTGAGGAGAAAGTCTCCCAAAATTTATTTGCGGTTAGTAACAGAATTTCAAATGTTTCGTTTCAGCTTCATTGACTTATACAAATAACCTCGAATTGTAAATTATCACAACGAAAAGTAGAATTAAAAAGCTTTCATAATCATACAAAAGCGAAGTACCTGCATTC